GTCAAAAATTTTTTTAAATGAATGAATTAATTAAATAAATTCTTTTTATTAGTTAGCAAGTGAAAAAGTCAGACCTCTAGGAGGCAGATATAAGAAGGGCTTCTTACCTCCACCCTCTGAGGGCCAGCAGAGTTTTGAGATCTTCCACCCTCACAACCCACAAGCATGGTTTGTTCCCACTGGAGCCTTTTGGACAGAACTGGCCACTGCCTCTCCGCTGAGGTGACCTGCCTCATGTGGCGCACTAAAGATGTCAGAACAGCCGGGCGCGGTGGCTCAGGACTGTAATTTCAGCACTTTGGGAGTCTGAGGCAGGTAGATCACCTGAGGTCAGGAGTTTGAGACCAGCCTGGCCAACATGGTGAAACCCCATCTCTACTAAAAATACAAAAAATAGCTGGGCATGGTGGCAGCCTTGTATAATCCCAGCTACTTGGGAGGCTGAGGCAGGAGAATCACTTGAACCTGGGAGGCAGAGGTTGCAATGAGCCAAGATCACGCCACTGCACTCCAGCCTGGGTGACAAGAGTGAAACACCATCTCAAAAAGTAAATAAGTCAGAAGTATAGATAGACAGACTCATCCACTATGGCTTTGCCTCCTTGTTTGGGTTGGAACACCAAGAGGCAGGCTTCCATCCTTTTCTATGAGACTCGAGTGCAAAGCATCAAGCCTGGAAAATGATCACAACATAAAGCTGAAAGAATATGTCATACTTTGTTTTCTTTCAGCTTCTAAATTGTCCCCTGGGAGTGGGGCGGCCCTGAGCATGCTCTCTAGGTCCTACATGTTCACACACACAAGAAGACAGGTGGCTAAGAATCCCTCTGGTCTAGCCTCAGCAGGATTGTCCAAGTGCCTCAAAGTTAACATAAAATCTAAATAATTGAGGTTTGGGGTGAAATAAAAGAAACTAAAATTCTAGACGATCTATTATATGAGGCACAAGGGGAAGGAGGGAGGTAGGTGCGCAGGCCTTTGTCTTGTTTGACATGAGGATAGAGTTAGAGAGTAATTCTGGATATTGATACAAAATAAGAGTTTAGGTATGTGTGTTGATTAGCCACTAAAGGAACAGAAGTGGTGTCTGTAACTTCCATACTACTGTAGAGGGAAAGAAGCAAAAAACACAGGGATTGGAAAACACAGAGATGGGAAATTCCATAGCAGGTGAATGCTACCAGAAAGGAAGGGGGTAGAGAATTCTTCAAATAAAAAAGACTAAGGAGAACAGCATCAAAAGGAGCAAAAGGCCGGGCTCAGTGTCTCACGCCTGTAATCCCAGCACTTTGGGAGGCTGAGGTAAGCGGATCACGAGGTCAAGAGATCGAGACCATCTGGCCAACATAGTGAAACCCTGTCTCCAGGAAAATACAAAAATTAGCTGGGCGTGGCGAATCGTGCCTGTAGTCCCAGCTACTCAGGAGGCTGAGGCAGGAGAATTGCTTGAACTCAGGAGGCGGAGGTTGCAGTGAGCCAAGATGGCACCACTGCACCCCGGCCTGGCGACAGAGTAAGACTCTGTCTCAAAAAAAAAAAAAAAAAAAAAAGCACCAGGAGCAGTGGCACACACCTGTAATCCCAGCACTTTGGGAGGCCGAGGCGGGTGGATCACGAGGTCAAGAGATTGAGACCATCCTGGTCAACATGGTGAAACCCCGTCTCTACTAAAAATACAAAAAATTAGCTGGGCATGGTGGCGCGTGCCTGTAATCCCAGCTACTCAGGAAGCTGAGGCAGGAGAATTGCTTGAACCCAGGAGGCGGAGGTTGCGGTGAGCCGAGATCGCGCCATTGCACTCCAGCCTGGGTAATAAGAGCGAAACTCGGTCTCAAAAAAAAAAAAAAAAAAAGCAAAAGAAGTTCGTAATAAAAGCGAAAGTCACCATGAACATGCAGACTGTGAATCTTGGTGCCTGCACTACATAGCTTTGAGCTTTGTAAATAAGCAACCCTTAGAAATCATTTAAGTCCAGGCCGGGCACAGTGGCTCACATCTTTAATCCCAGCTACTCAGGAGGCTGAAGCAGGAGAATCACTTGAACCCAGGAGACAGAGGTTGCAGTGAGCCGAGATCGTGCCATTGCACTCCAGCCTGAGTGACAGGTCGAAACTTCGTTTCAAAAAAAAAAAAAAGAGAAAGCATTTATGTCCAGGGCTGGGCATGGTGGCTCATGCCTGTAATCCCAACACTGGGAAGCTGAGGTGGGTAGATCACCTGAGATCAGGAGTTCAAGACCATCCTGGCCAATGTGGCAAAACCCCATCTCTACTAAAAATACAAAAATTAGCTGGGTGTGGTGGCAGGTGCTTGTAATCCCAGCTACTTCAGAGGCTGAGGCTGGAGAATCACTTGAACCCGGGAGGCGGAGATTGCAGTGAGCCAAGATTGTGCCGTTGCACTCTGGCCTGGGCAACAAGAGCGCAACTTCATCTCAAAAGCAAAATCCTTTAAGTTCAAAACCACGATAAGAGGAATTGGTCGAATCCAAAACCGTGGTAGGAGACGTGAATGTTTCTCTGAGACAGGTAGATGATGTAATTCAAATAAGGATGTGGAAGATTTTGTAACACAGGAAACAAGCATAAACAGAGACAATCTCCTAATATTTGCTGCACAGTTAATGACTGCTAGGCAGTTTTTATAGCACTTGTCTTATGGCGAAAAACTTGTAATGCAGGCGTCACAGATGGATGATGAAGTAGCTGCTGCTGATCGTTCTCCCTGTCTTACAGATGGAGAAACTGAGGCACAGAAAGGTTCCAAGCTAAGGAGTGGCTATGCTGAGATTTGAAGTCAGCAGACTGGCTTGAGTGTTCTCTGTTCTTGATGTTATGTTCCACTGGAACTTGGGGAGATGCATTTGTGACTGATGTGTCTCCCTCAGACTGCCCTTGGCATCAGAACCATCCAGGGACAAGGAAAGCCATCAGAGCCATGAGTGACTGGGGCAGTTAGGTCACCTGGCCCTGATTCCGTGCTCTGCCCTGGATGCGGAGTTGCCTTGCTAGGGCTGTGTTGGACTGGAGAACCAGAACACCCATGTTGGTTAGCGTTCTCTTGATTGAGCACTTTTGCTTGTGAGGGCATGATCTTGCAAGATGCTGCCGTCAGCCCAACAGAGGGTCAGGGCAGCAGTGGAGCCAGTCCTCAGTCTGTTGTCTGAGGTCCAGCCAGACTGTAGCTGGCTAACAGTGTCAGCAGGAGCTTGTGTATGGAGCTGCCTGCTAGGGACATGCCGCATCACACAGGGCTGCCAACGATGTGGCCACCTCACTTCCAGTTGGCTTGTCACTGGTAATCTGGAACTTCATCTGATAACTAATATGTCACTACTTAATATCTAACGATATGAAAGCCACCTGAAATACAGCCATACTTACTAAACAGTATTTATTCTTCTTTAACACAGACTGAAAGCAAACATTCACAAAAGTCTGTTATGTTTTTTGTGGGATGGTTTATTAATTTATTTATTTTTAAAGAGATGGGTTTCCATATCCAAAGTAACTATAATAATAAAAAAGAAAAGAAAAGAAAAAAAAAGAGACGGGGTTTCCCCATGTTGCCCAGGCTGGTCTTGAGACCCACCTGCCTCAGCCTCCCAAAGTGCTGGGATTACAGGCATGAGCCACCACACCCAACTTAAAAGTTTGTTATATATGAAATCACAAAGAAAATCACAGCACACCCAGGAAACTCACATGGGCCAAATTATGCTAATACAGCAAACTAGAAATGAGCAACAACCAAAATAAAACATGCTTCTGAATAACTTGAGTGAAGGGTAATCAGAACTGAAATTAGAAACAATTTAGAAGGAAGTGGCAAGAAGAACACTATATACCAGATGTGGCCATAAAAATACTTAAGAGAAAAAGAGTGACTTCAGGTGAATTTATCAGAAATAAAGAGTGGAGACCAGCCTAGGCAACATGGTAAAATGTCCTCTCAACCAAAATTAGCTAGGCATAGTGGTGCGCACCTGTAGTCCCAGCTACTGGGGAGGCTGAGGTGGAAGGATCACCTGAGCCCAGGAGGTCGAGGCTGCAGTGAGCTGTAATCATGCCCCTGCACTCCAGCTTGGGCAACAGAGTGAGACCCTGTCTTAAAAAAAAAGTGGAAGTAAAAAACATTCAGCTCATGAAGCTAGAAGGAAAATAATGAAAAAAGTGTAGACACTAGAAGTAGAAGGATTTTTATTTTTTTTTTTTCTTTTTTTTTGTTTAGGATTTTTATTTTTTAAGACAGGGTCTTGCTCTGTTGCCCAGACTAGAGTGCAATGGCGCAGACAGCTCACCACAGTCTTGGCTTCCTGGGCTCAAGTGATCCTCCCACCACTGCCTCCCCAGTAGCTGGGACTACAGGCATGCACCACTACCTGGGCTAATTTTTTTATTTTGTGGGGATGGGATCTCATCTTGTTGCCCAGGCTGACCTTGAACTCCTTGGCTCAAGCAGTCCTCCTGCCTCAGCTTCTCAAAGTGGAGCTCAGCTGAATATTTTTCTATGTTAGTACATGTAGCTCAACCTTCTCTTCTCTGTCCTGTTCTTATGATGACTGGATCGTACGGTTTCACACCTGGGATACAGGCTCTTGGTTAATGTTCTCTTGTGGGTCACATCTCACTTCCCTTGTTGCAGTCAAAAACTCACCGAGCACTTGTCCTGACTGGGCCATCTGTAAGGTGACAGTTCTACCTGCCAGGGTACGTTGCACCGAGGTGACTGGTTTGTGTTTCCAGGCCAACATGAGCTGTGTGCTCCATCATGGCTACTGCCAGAAATCAAGGAGGAACTCGGTTCAGACTCCCAATTGCCCTGCGGACACTCTTAGCAGGGCAGCTGTCTTGGGCCTGCTTCTGTGTCCTCAGTAGAGTCAGGCAGAGCCTCTCAGCAGACAGTGAGGAGCAGGCCACTTAGAAAGGGTTTGTGTTTGCAGCAACAATTTGGGGTCTGGTGGTGTTTTCATAAATGTTCTGTTATGTTTTGTTATGTAGGTTTTTGTCTGATGAAAATAGCCTGGAGTATAAATACTACAAGCTGAAGTTGGCAGAAATGCAGCGGATGAGCCACAACTTGCGAGGAGCCGACCAGAAGCCGACCTCGGCAGAGTGTGCGGTGCGGGCCATGCTGTATGCCCGGGCTGTTCGCAACCTCAAGAAGAAACTGCTGCCATGGCAGCGGCGGGGGCTCCTCCATGCTCAAGGTCTCCGGGGCTGGAAGGCGAGGAGAGCAACCACCGGGACCCAGACCCTCCTATCCTCAGGAACCAGGCTGAAACACCATGGCCGGCAGGCTCCAGGCCTCTCGCAGGCAAAGCCATCCCTGCGAGACAGAAATGATGCTGCCAAGGATTGCCCTCCAGACCCAGCCAGACCCTCTCCTCAGGACTCCAGCGCAGAAGCCTCAGGCCCATCCCCCAAGCTAGCAGGAGTGGACATCTCTGCAGCACCTCAGACCTCTTCTCCCTGCCCATCTACTGACAGTGGGTGCTCACTCCCGTCCCCCTTCTCTGGGCCCCAGTCCCAACTCTCCTGTCTCCAGGGTCTCTCTAGAATTGGGGGGCCTGCAATCAGGGCCAGGCAGTGGGCGAAAGCTCCAGGGACCTGGCCAGGACAGGTGCACGTGTCAGCACTTTCTCTCTTGCTTTCTCGAGAGAGCTGCATGTGAGTCCTGCAGCCCTGTCCTCCTCTTCTGAGAGCGGAGCTGGCACGAGGTGCTGCCCCATGCCTCTGTGTCCCCGACTGCTGCCTCATGCCTCTGTGCTCCCTGACAGGGTCCTGTAGCTGGGGCCGTGGGTGCTGCATTGCCTGAGCTTGGGATCTCATGTTCTATGACAGTCCTCAGGACTGCCTTACTCTCTCATTCTGCCTCCTCATCCCCCGGGTCTCTACTGTTCCTGTTCTTGGGGTTCACTGACCTGCATCATTTCCTCTGAATCAACTAACTTCACCCCTTGTTTCTTGTCACCTTAGCTGTTACCTTCTCTCCGGACCACAGGCCTGTTCTCTGGCCAGTGCTTATTCAGTCCTAAGTGGGTATGAAGAGGGCAAAAAATGTCCACAACTGCTGCATTCTCTTTTTCTGTTTTTTTTTTGTTTGTTTTTTTTTTTAAATTTATTTATTTTATTTTATTATTTTTTTTTGAGACGGGGTTTCACCATATTTGGTCAGGCTGGTCTTGAACTCCCGACCTCAGGTGATCCGCCCGCCTTGCCCTCTGAAGGGCTTGGATTATAGGCATGAGCCACTATGCCCGGCCATCTTTTTTTTTTTTTTTTTTTTTTAATAGAGTCTCCACTGTTGCCTGGGCTGGAGAGCAGTGGCATGATCTCAGCTCACTGCAATCTCCGTCTCCAGGTTCAAGTGATTCTCCTGCCTAAGCCTCCCAAGTAGCTGGGATTACAGGCACCCACCACCATGTCCAGCTGTTTTATTTCTTTTTTCCTTTTCTTTTTTTTTTTGAGACAGAGTCTTGCTCTATTGCCAGGCTGGAGTGCAGTGGTGCAATCTCGGCTCACGGCAACCTCCAACTTCCTGGTTCAAACGATTCTCCTACCTCAGCCTCCCAAGTAGCTGGAATTACAGGCACACACCACCATGCCCAGCTAATTTTTGTATTTTTAGTAGAGATGAGGTTTCACCATATTGAGGATGGTCTCGATCTCCTGATCTTGTGATCTACCCATCTCGGCCTCCCAAAGTGCTGGGATTACAGGTGTGAGCCATCGCACCCAGCTAACTGCTGCATTCTCTAGGTGTTGCTGTGTCATGAGTCATTCCAAACTATGGTTTAAAACAGGAGGCATTGGCCAGGCATAGTAGCTCACGCCTGTAACTCCAGCACTTTGGGAGGCTGAGGCGGGTGGATCAAGTCAGGAGTTCAAAACCAGCCTGGCCAACATGATGAAACCTCATCTCTCCTAAAAATACAAAAAGAAAAGTAACCAGATGTGGTGGCACATGCCTGTAGTTTCAGCTACTCAGGAGACTGAGGCAGGAAAATCGCTTGAATCTGGGAGGTGGAAGTTGCAGTGAGCCGAGATCCCACCACTGCACTCCAGCCTGGGTGACAGAGCAAGACTCTGTCTCAAATAAACAACAACAAAAAACAGGAGGCATATTGTGAATCTGCCAGTAGCTGGGCCATCTGCTGAGCTAGCCCGCGCATGTGTCTGCAGTCAGCGGCACGTGTCCCAGCTGTCAGCTGAGATGATAGTATGGCTGGGCATGTGCCTGTCATCCCCCCAGCAGCCAGCCCATGTTTGTTCACCTGGCAGTTGGGGTCAGGGATCCAGGAGAGATAGTGGAGATACTTGAGTCCTCCAAGGCCCAGGCTTGGAACTGGCAACTGGCTTTTCCACCACATTCTACAGCCTGTGCGAGTCCCAGGACCAGTGCTGATTCAAGGTGGGGGGAGATACACAGAGTTTACTTCTTGGTGATAAGGAGTCCGCATGTGGCAAAGGACGAGGCTACAGGGAGGGGACACACAGGCCATCTTTATAATCAGCCTCCGCGACCTACAGTATTCTCTTGGGGAGCAGCGGCTCAGGAGTGATGCCTGACAGATGCTTTATGTTTTGTAGTTGACATGAAGACATTGGAGACTGCAGAGAAACTGGCTAGATTTGTTGCTCAGGTGGGACCAGAGATCGAACAATTCAGCATAGAAAACAGCACCGATAACCCTGACCTGTGGTATGTATCCCCTGGGTCTCATCACACTCTTGTTTTTCAAAGAGACAAGGTCTAAGTATGTTGCTCAGGCTGGATTCAAATTCCTGGGCTCAAGCGATCCTCTTGTTTCAGCCTCCAGAGTAGCTGGGACCACAGGTATGCTCCACTGCAACTGCCCATCACACCCTTTAGATTTGAGTGTATTCACCCCACAAGCACGTGCTGAGAGCCAGCCCACAGCCTGGCCGACACATTCCTGCCATGGGGGTTATACCAGGAGTAAGTCACGACTTCATTTCAGCTGAGCCAGGGGCCTGAGGGAGAAAGATCTGTTCTGATCACCTGAGGTCAGGAGTTCGAGACCAGCCTGGCCAAACATGGTAAAACCTTGTCCCTAATAAAAATATAAAAATTAACTAGGCATGGTGGTGGGCACCTGTAATCCCAGCTGCTCAGGAGGCTAAGGCATGAGAATTGCTTGAACCTCGGAGGCAGAGGTTTCAGTGAGCTGAGATTGAGCCACTGTGCTCCAGCCTGGGCAACAGAGTGAGGATTCATCTCAAAAAAAAAAAAAAAAAAAAAATCTGTTCTAGGGGACCTGCCTTCATCTGCTGTATCAGGAAGAGCCTCCCCAGAGGGACATTTAATCTGCATCCAAAGGCTAAATAGGAGTTGGCCAGGGGAGTGGGGAGAGGTGAGATGTGCTGCTCGCTGCATGTAGTGGTGAGAGCACTACCACCACTGGACAGCACCACTTCTAAACAGGGATGATGTGTGCTCATGCTGGGAGCAGGTGCCTTTGCCCTCTGCCTTTGTTCCTCAGACATGTAGATCTCAGCTCAAAAGCACACACCCTATAGGCAAGAAAACCTGGGCTGGGAGCCAGCCCTGTCCCTGGGGCACTTCCCCTCCAGAGAGGGGTAGGAGGCACCCATCTCCCCATTATTGAGCCAGAACCCTACTAAGGGGGCTTTTGACTCCTGGTGCTGGTCCCAGCTTGCTAGACAGTCATTCCTTCGTCCAGTAAAAAACACAGTTGAAAACGTGCATTTCTCAGAGCATTTATGGGATTCAGTGGTGATGGAACAGTCTTTCAACTTGTTTGGGACCTGACTGCATGAGCCGAGCCCTACTCCCCTCTGTAGCCTTGGTTTATGACTAAGTCCTGCACTGAGGTACCACCTGCCTCGTGGGACACTGACCACCTACGGAGGCCTGGGCAGGGTGGCCTTGGGGAGCTGTGTGTGTGATCTCACCCTGGCAGGGTTGGATAAGGGGGACAGCTCAGTGCAGGGCAGCTGGGGGCATCTCACCAGTCCTTTTATCTTTTTCATTTATTTTTTTTTTTGTCAATGAAAAGTACAGTTTATAGGAGAACTTTGCATTAGCCTGGGTACTTGGGCTCTAGTACTTGTTGGGTTTTGGGACCTCCCCATCTGGGACAGCCATTTCTGAGCAGTGTTCAGAGTGCTCTGTCCTGTCCTTCCCCAGACGGAGAGCCCTGAATCCTGACCACGATATTTGGCAGGGTGGTGGACGCTGTCCAGCCAAGCTTGTAAATGAGCCAAGATGACTTTGTCTTTCTTTCGCCTTTAGAAAAATTTTACTTCTGGCTGGGCGTGATGGCTCGTACCTGTAATCCCAGCACTTTGGGAGGCTGAAGCGGGCGGATCACAAGGTCAGGAGTTTAAGACCAGCCTGGCCAAGATGGTGAAACCCCATCTCTACTAAAACATACAAAAATTAGCCAGGTGTGGTGATGGTCACCTATAATCCAGCTACTCAGAGGCTGAGGCAGACAATTGCTTGAACCTGAGAGGCAGAGGTTGCAGTGAGCCAGATTGCGCCACTGCACTCCAGCCTTGGGGAGAGTGAAAAAAAAAAAAACCAAAAAAAGGAAAAATTTTTCTTCTGATGTGCTCAAGTTCAATGAGTTAATTCATTTTGTGGGTGTGGTTATAAGTTGTCTTACAATCAAATTTATTTTATTTATTTATTTTTGAGATGGAATTTTACTCTGTGGCGCAGCCTGGAGTGAAGTGGTGTGATCTCGGCTCACTGCAACCTCCATCTCTCGGGTTCAAGCAAATCTCCTGCCTCAGACTCGCAAGTAGCTGGGATTACAGGTGTCGCCCTACTAATTTTTGTATTTTTACTGGAGATGGGGTTTTGCCATGTTGGCCAGGCTAGTCTTGAACTCCTGACCTCAGGTGATTCGCCTGCCTTGGCCTCCCGAAGTGTGCTGAGAATTATAGGCATGAGCCACCATGTCTGGCCCAGATTCATTTGTTTCTGCTGATATTTACCAGTGTGTGTGTGTGTGTGTGTGTGTGTGTGCGCACGCACGTGTGTGCGCATTATAGTGGCGTTTGCCTGTGGTCACAGCTACGTGGGTAGCTGAGGTAGGAAGATTTCTTGAGCCCTGGAGTTTGAGGCTGCAGTAAGCTGTGATCACACCACTGCACTCTAACCTGGATGACAGAGTGAGACCCTCTCCCTAAAAATATATAATAAAAAATAATTATAAAGCTGTCCCACTGTTCCAATACCATTCTTTGAAAGACCACCCCTTTTTCGAAGTAGTTTGAGAAGCCACCTTAATCGAATCCTGGTTTTCTAGTCTGTCTTTTTTTTTTTTTTCTTCTATTTTGAGACTGCGTTTCGCTCTTGTTACCCAGGCTAGAGTGCAATGGCACAATCTCGGCTCACCTCAACCTCTGCCTCTTGATGAATTGCCTTACAAGAGCCATTTTTCCTTTGGTGCCTTCAGGACTGTTTTAAGTTTCTCATACCAGCCACAGCTCCATAGGTGTGTTTACCAGACGAGGTGGCCACCAGACCCCTGAGGCATAGAGAGGCCTCATCTCCACGCCCATGTAGCTGGACTACAGGACCCTGTGTAGAAAGTGCTACAGGTGATGAGCCCTCCTCCGGGGGCTGCTCACAGCTCCATGTGCACATGTTCCGACAGTAACTATGCAGGCCTCTCCTGGCCTCTCTCCATGCTTCTCATACCTAGGAATAACCAGAGTCAAAATGGGTACTTGGAGGCCAAGAGAGGCCAGTAAAGTAACCAGAAAGGGTGATGTGGGGCTCAGGCCAGATCTCTGTTCCAACATTTTCCCAGGCCCTGCATACCTTGTTCGTCCGCCTTCTTGCCCTGGACAGCAGTGAGGCCTCTCGAATTCTGGTTCCTTATTAAGTTTCTAGTACTCCTCAAATTTTCTATTATTGAGAGACTGTACCATCAAGCCGTAGCTGCACAGAAGGAAGTCAGGTGATTCTTTCCCTTGTCCCACCTCCACCTTCCTTGGATCAATCCCAGCAGTTTCAGCAAATAAAAATGTTGAGCAATTCCGTCTGGTTACCCAGTGTATTTCCTCTGTGCCCCAGGTTTCTACATGACCAAAATAGTTCTGCTTTCAAATTCTATCGAAAGAAAGTGTTTGAACTATGTCCGTCAATTTGTTTCACGTCATCTCCACACAACCTGCACACCGGTGGCCCTGACACCACGGGTTCTCAGGAGAGCCCGATGGACCTCATGGAAGGGGAAGGAGAGTTTGAAGGTGAGCCCCCTCCTCGGGGGGCTGAGCTGGAGAGCCTAGAGGTAATGCCTGAGGAGGAGGAGGAGGACGACGATGAGGATGGTGGAGAGGAGGCCCCTGCTTCTGGAGGGACGGGCAAGTCTGGGGGCAGCACCCCTGCTGACGGCCTTCCCAGTGAGGCTGCCGAGGAGGACCTGGCTGGAGCACCTGCCCTGTCACAGGCCTCCGCAGGTACCTGCTTCCCCCGGAAGAGGATCAGCAGCAAGTCATTGAAGGTTGGCATGATTCCAGCTCCCAAGAGAGTGTGTCTCATCCAGGAGCCAAAAGGTGAGTGCCCGCCTGTTGGCACAGCTGCCTCCAGCACAGTTCTTGGTTGGTGGGCTGTGAGAGTTAGAGACAGGTGGAAACATTTTAATCCAAAAGAATTTTGTGCACCACTCCAAAATGTGAACCGAGACTCCTGTTTCCCGGTGGTCTGAAGGCATTGCTCTAAGGAGATGTTTCCTGGCTACCCTGTGGCTCTGGCACTCTCTGTGCTGCTGGGCATTTCCCTGATTGGATTCAGATCAGGGCATCCCTGATGGTAGAGGGGATGGATCTGGGTCATTTCAGCTGTTTTCCTGCCCTTGACCTTGTCTGCTGAGGGGGCCTTCTGAGCCCCTGGAAGGCCCAGGGTGCTGATAACCTGCTTCATGTCATGACAGTGAGATTAGGACACAGCAAGGCTGGTCCCAGGCAGTGGTCAGTAGGAGCTGCCTTGGCTGTGGGAGGCCATCTCCTGCTCTCCTGTGGGGAGGTTCCAGGTTCTTGAGGTGTAATTTACCAGCAGTGAAATGCACCCTTGTTAAGTGGACCATTTGAGTTTTGTTGACTTTGCAGAGGCGAGAACCCACCAGTACAGCAGAGCTGGAGCCTGTTCCCAGAAAGGGTCTCTTGTCCCATTGCAGTCCCCTGCCCCACCAGCCCCAGAACCACTGACTGTTTTCCCAGCCCCAGGTGTTCTGCCTTTCCTAAGATGTCAGTACATGGAATTGCATCACATGTGGCCATTTGATGGGCCAAGGTGACTCCTGTCCCTCCCCTCCCCCATGCCCTCTAAGCTATCTGCCCACCCATAGTCAGGCCTGGGCCGTGCTTCTCACAAGTAACTGCTGCTGCTGCAAAACCTGTGTGTGAAGTTGTAGTGAATGGTGCCCTATTGTGGGACTGTGTTAGGCAGTCAACTGTGTGTTCTGCATCATTCAAACAGTCACATTTACAGGCGACAGTGGCCTTACGGTTTTTCCTGCTTTGGAACAGTCCTCACGTTTTGTGTTTGAAAACCTTGGTATTGCAGTGAAATGCTAACCATTCTACTATAATCCTTACCATCCTTAAAAACTTCTCAGGGGCTGGGCAGCTTTGGGAAGCTGAGGCAGGAGGATCGCTTGAGCTCAGGTGTTCGAGCTTGCCTGGGCAAGATGACCAGACCTGGTCTTTACAAGGAAAAAAAAAATTAATATAAAAACATAAAATGGCCGGCCTGTAATCCTAGCACTTTGGGAGGCTGAGGTGGGCGGATCACTTGAGGTCAGGAGTTCAAGACCAGCCTGGCCAACATGGTGAAACCCTATCTTTAAAAAAAAAAAAAGATAAAATGAAGTAAAAAACTAAACTTGTCATGGATGGTAGGTAATGTATCAGAGTGCTTGTTATGTATGTTCTTCTTGGGGGAAAGTGGAGTTCTTTATTTCTGTTTTAGAAGCTCTCAGTTCTTTGGGTAGTTGATGAGATAAAAACCAGACTTGCTAATCTCCCTTTCATAAAAACTAAAATGATTTGATTTGGTCCTCTATATGAGAAGCAGGGATGTTTTTTACTAGAAAGTTTTAGGATTTAATTCTTTACCAGGATTAGCTACAGATAAACTAGGAGGGCTTAGCATCACAAATTGTTTATTTGTTGAAGCAAAATATCTTTCTGTAGTCATGGAAAATAACCCATGTATTGGATCCTTTGTTATAAATGTGGGGACTCTTAGGTTTGAATAGACTTTCCCAAAGTGAGGCACCCCTCAGTGAGCCCTTCACTATGGCCCAAGCTGCCTACCCCAGGCGTGTCCTGCCTCTGCTCACTCTGGGGGTCATACATGTTCATTTCTGAGAGAAGCTGGAGCTCAGCAGCTGCCATGCAGGGCCTAAGACATCTTCTGTCGTCAGAGAACTGTCAGCCAAAATAGACTGCAAGACCTTCAGTCCCTAAGTAATTTAGGGAAAGCAGGTGGATGTGTGTGTGTCTCTTCCTTTTGTCTTCTAGTCCATGAACCAGTTCGAATTGCCTATGACAGGCCTCGGGGTCGTCCCATGTCCAAAAAGAAGGTGAGCTTAATCATTTGTAGTCCTCACTCAAAGTGTAGTTGGTTAGAATTTGTTGGAGTACTAAAGGATGCTGCAGTTTGTGATTAAGCTACGTTCAAACTGAGGTATTAATATGTAAAACACACAGAGACTTTTTTCTCTTGGGAGGACTTTTTTTTTTTTTTTTTTTTTTTTTTTGAGACAGAGTCTCTCTCTGTCACCCAGGTTGGAGTGCAGTAGCGTGATCTTGGCTTACTGCAACCTCCCCCTCCTGGGTTCAAGCAGTTCTCCTGCCTCAGCCTCCCAAGGAGCTGGGACTACAAAAGCATGCCGCCACACCCGGCTAATTTTGCTGTATTTTTAGTAGAGACAGGGTTTTACACGTTAGCCAGGATGGTCCCCATCTCCTGACCTCGTGATCTGCCCACCTCAGCCTCACAAAGCGCTGGGATTATAGGCATGAGCCACCACACCTGGCCTTGGGAGGACTTTTAACAACTGTTTTGCCTTTGTCCAAAGCATAGACTAGTGATTCACCTGTGTAATGATAGGTGAAATCCCTGTAATGGATGCAATGGGATTTGAGAGATAAATGAGATAATGTCTTGGCCCTTAAGAAGTTCAAGCTAAGGCTGACTGGGTGGCTTGCACCTGTGATCCCAGCAGTTTGGGAGGCCGAAGCGGGCAGATTGCTTGAGCCTGAGAGTTTAAGACCAGCTTGGGCAAGAGGCAAAACCCTGTCTCTGCAAAAAAAAAAAAAAAAAAAAACATTGGGAGGCCGAGGCAGGTGGATCACGAGGTCAAGAGATCGAGACCATCCTGGTCAACAAGGTGAAACCCCGTTTCTACTAAAAATACAAAAATAAGCTGGGCATGGTGGTGCGCGCCTGTAGTCCCAGCTACTCGGGAGGTTGAGGCAGGAGAATTGCTTGAACCCAGAAGGCGGAGGTTGCGGTGAGCCGAGATCATGCCATTGCACTCCAGCCTGGGTAACAACAGCGAAACTCCGTCTCAAAAGAAAAATACAAAAATCAGTTTGGCATGGTGGCACATGCCTGTAGTCCCAACTACTCTGGAGGCTGAGGTGGGAGGATCACTTGGGCCTGAGAGATTGAGGCTGCAGTGAACTGATTGGACCACTGCACCCCAGCTTGGGCGACAGAGTGAGACGCTGTCTCAAAAAAAAAAAAAAAAAATGGTTCAAGTTGTCCAGGCACACTAATTCATGCCTATAATCCCAGTGCTTTGGGAGACCAAGACAGGGGATCACTTGAGCCCAGGAGTTTGAGGCCAGCCTGGGCAACATAGTGAGACCTATGTTTCCTCCTGGTCTCCTTAAAAAATAAAACAAAAAATTACAGGCATGAAGGCTCATGCCTGTAATCCTAGCACTTGGGGAGGCCAAGGTGGGTGGATCACCTGAGGTCAAGAGTTTGGGACCAGCCTGGACAACATGGGAAAACCCTATCTCTACTAAAAATACGTAAATAGCCAGGCATGGTGGCATGTGCCTATAATCCCAGCTACTCTGGAGGCTGAGGCAGGAGAATCACTTGAACCCAGGTAGCAGAGATCGCACTACACTCCAACCTGAGTGAAAGAGTGAAACTTCATCTCGAAAAAAAAGAGTTCAAGCTCAGTAGACTGGAAGTACGAAGAGTGCGCTAATCTGCTAGTAAGCAGAGCGTGGTGTATGCTGTCAGGCCATCCTATGTTCCAGGCCCTGACTGTCCACCTGGAGGCAGCAGCGAGCAGGGCCAACAGTGAAAGAAATGGACGAGGCAGTCCTGGGGGTGCTGTGGGCAAAGAGAAGCAGGTCACAGAGGGAGCATAAGGTGGCATCGAGCGGATGCCACTGAAATGGGAAAGCCAAGGGAGGTCTCTCTGGCAGGTGTTGTTGGCATAGGTCTGGAGGAGCTGAGGAGAAACAATACAGACATCTGGGAAGGGCAGTGCCTCAGCCAAGGGCTGGGGCAGCAAGAGGCCTTGTGGCAGGAGTGGAATCAAGGGTCACACAGGACCTCAACAGATGTTAATGCTGTGGCCCTTTCTCAAGAAAGGGAAGGTCCCTCTGGGACCTGTGGTGGACATGGCCACTAGGGTGGAGAGCAGCCTGTGGGCGGGGACCAGGAGGAGGCTCAAACTTAAGATAGTTGGACCAGGGCATGAGGAGCAACAAGAATGGGTGAAGGTGGAGTGGGTGACACCTGCTTGTGGACTGGGTGTGCAAAAGCCAGGAGTCCAGGTGACCCAGGGTAGTCAGCTTAGGCAGTAGAGGGACAGAACTGCCATTCACTCACCTAGAGGCAGGTTATAGGAGTGGGGCAGGTACACTCCAGGGGGCTGGGGGGACACAGTGCTGGGGGCAGGCAAGGTCGCCTGGGACACACGTCGAGAGACTTCACCGATCCTTTGTGGTCAGGGAGGATGGCGGGGAGCCAGGCGAGGTCACTGCTGGTGTCAGGCAGTGCCATAGTGCTTCAGACCCCTTCTGAATGCTCTAGGTCAGTCTGACCCTGATTATGGCAGGAAGGAGGGACCTTCCGGAGTCCAGAGCTCATGGTCCTGACTGATGTGCCAAGTTTTAGGCTGAGCTGGCATCTGGTGCCCCTTTGTGTGGCCTGGATGAGGGCACGGCTAAGTGAGGGCACAGCAGGGCCTTGACGTCAGGCACAGCTGTACTCTAGCTCAGCCCTGCCACCAAGAAGTTTTGTAACCTTGGCATGTAACCCCTACGGGTTTGTCTGTAAAATGGGATGGCCACACCTACCCAGCAGGTAGGAGGTACGGTGAGGATTAAACTTAAGGCGGTTCTAGCGGGTGTCTTGCACATGCTGCTGTCTCCTTGGGGCTCTGTGCCTGTCCTTCCTGCCGGTGGAAGGGAGGCTGTGGTGGCTGCACCTCTCCTCTGCACACCTCTGCCTCGCCCACAGGGCTCGGCTTTCCTCCAGCTGTCCAGGAAACCCACATTGTGATTGTTAAACACAGATTTGAACATTCTCGAAGAAACTTCCAGGCTGAGCCAACCTCTATTCCTCCCGCTGCACCTCCAAGCAGCCTTCCTGAAAGGGAAAGGAGTGCAGACCTCCCATTTGGGGACCCCATGCCCCGCCATGACCAGCCTTTCCCCTGCCTTCCCCACCCTTCATCCAGGACCCAGGCTGTGCACAGCTCCCAGGAGGGCCGGACAGATGCCCTGTTTCTCATCTCAGCCAGTGGGTTCTGTCTCCTCTTCTCCAGGCCTCTTTCTCATGGCGGGGGGTTGGGGGGGGGCAGTGTAGCAGGTCCTGCTTGCAGAGGTGTCTCTGTACTGCTTTTGCTCCTCTTCCTGCCCCAGCCCATAGCATAGCTCCTTCCTTTACGCCTCTCCTCAAATGCCCTGCAGAGAAACTTCTGCCCACACGGCCTCACCAAGACCACCTTGTGCCAGTAGGGAGGGGCCGCCTGCATCCAGTAACTCACGCTCACACACACAAGATACACTCACGTGCAGGCATATGCACACACACACATGCATACATACACACAGCTACTTTATATAATATCTCCAGAGGTGCCTCTGAAGAGAACAAAGGGAATTTCCCTCCCCCTCCGAAGGTCCAAGTCTAAGCTTGTTGAAAAGAATTGACAGTAGGCACATTAACAGGATAAAAAAGGTATACAGTCCAGGTGTGGTGGCTCACACCTGTAATCCTGGGACTTCGGAAGGCAGAGGCAGGAGGATCATTTGAGCCCGGGAGTTCAAGACTGCAGTGAGCCATGATGGAGCCACCGCACTCCAGCCTGGGTGACAGAGCAAGACCCTGTCTCAAAAAAAAAAGTTATACATATTTATTCATGTGCATAAGCACAGGAGCCATATAAAACATGATGAAAACTCAAAGAAGGGCCAGGTGGTTGAAGCTGAAATATCTCCTCATAGGGGAGAGGGCAGTTGGGAGGCAGTAGGTGACTGTAGAGGGGAAGCAGATGATTTTGGGAGAAATGAATGGAGGCAGGCATCATCTTGTGAATGATTCTCATTGAGAATTGAATTGGAACTAGAGAACAGCCAGTGGTCTGGGCTCCAGGTGTGGTGGTTAATGTTCCATCTCTTCCTGTGTGATACGAGTTTTCACCTCTGGTTAATGACATATTAGAGAAGGGATCCAAGGCCCTTGCGTTCTCTTTGGCAGGTCCAGTTCCTAGGTAGATAGGGAACTGCAAGAGAACAGCTTCCTCCTGTGCTCTGGAAGGGACGGAGACAGGAAGAAGGTCAGAAGGACCCTGAGGCTGCGGCTTTAGTCCCACATGTCAAAGTGACATATTTCGGGGTATCAGTTTCTGACCCCCTACATCTTGCTGCATGTCAAGCTCTCAGCACCTTTCCGGGTTGAGAATTTTGTCAACCTGTTTTGTCCCTTTCTAGGGTGAGAACACTGAGGCCCTGCACTCTCCCTTCTCCCTTTCCTCTCCCAGCCCCTGGCTCCCCCAGGCTCAGCCTTTTCTGCCGTGTCTCCAAGCTCCTTTGTCTCTGGAGTGCCTCCTCCATGTACCCCTGAAGTTAGGGAAGCTGATTCCTGGGCACCTCAGTGCAGATGGCAAGAGGGAGATTTGTCTTTTGGTTGAATTGCACCTCATGAGGCCTGTATGACATAATGGGGCAGGTCACTAAGCCAAGGAGGGCTGGCTGCCCAAGGACCTGAGCTCACAGCACTCAGCACGCCCTTCCCCTGCTTCCCATGCCCAGGGTCATCTAATCCTCTCCCAGCCTCTCCCACCTGTCCCCTGCTCAGACCCCCAGCACCAGCCACCTTGATCTTCAGCACCTTTCTCCCTTCCTCTCAAGAGCACATGAGCCCTCGCAGCCTCCCCAGGTAGTTCAGTAAATGCTGTAAAGAAATACATCAGCCAGGCGCAGTGGCTCATGCTTGTAATCACAGCACTTTGGGAGGCTGAGATGGGCAGATCAGCCAAGGTCAAGAGTTCAGGACCAGCCTGGCCAACATAGTAAAGTGCCATATTTTGGGGTATCAGTTTCTGACCCCTTACATCTTGCTGAATGTCAAGCTCTCAGCATCTCTCCATGTTGTTTTGTCCCTTTCTAACGTGAGAACACTGAGGCCCCAGGAGCTCCAGGGCCCCAGGACTTGCTCATGGGAGCAGTTGCTCCCTCTTCCCTCCCTCCCTCCCTCTGGCTAAAAATACAAAAATTAGCCAGGTGGCGCATGCCTGTAATCCCAGCTACCCGGGAGGCTGAGGCAGAAGAATCGCTTGAACCCAGGAGATGGAGGTTACAGTGAGCCAAGATTGTACCACTGCACTCCAGCCTGGGCAACAGAGCGAGACTCTATCTTAAAAAAAAAAAAACTCCAGGCGCGGTGGCTAATGCCTGTAATCCCAGTATTTTGGAAGGCTGAGGCAGACGGATCACGAGGTCAGGAGTTCAAGACCAGCCTGACCAACATGGTAAAACCCCGTCTTTACTAAAAATACAAAAATTAGCCAGACATGGTAGTGGGCGCCTGTAATCCCAGCTACTCAGGAGGCCTGAGGCAGGAGAATTGCTTGAATCCAGGAGGCAGAGGTTGCAGTAAGCTGAGATAGCGCCATTGCACTCCAGCCTGGGTGACAGAGTGAGACTCCATCTCAAAAAAAAAAAAAAGAAAAATCAAAAGCTGGGTGGAGTGGCACATATCTGTAGTTCTAGCTGATGGGGAGGCTGAGGTGGGAGGATCACTTAAAGCCAGGAATTTGAGACCAGCCTGGGCAACATAACAAGATTATATTTAAAAAACAAAAACAACACACATACCCCACCCCCCACCCCCGACCTTGACACACATTCATGAATAGCAATTCCTTCTGCTAGAACCCTACAGGCTCCTCCTCCGGAGGTCCCAAGCCCTTTCTGTCCCCAGAGCTCCATCTAGTGCACTTCACTACCTGCAGGACCCATCACATCTGTACCAGCTCTCAGTGAGATCTGCTGTGAGCTAGACATAGACCCCAGTGTCCAGGAAGAACCCACTCCCTAGGACAGAAAGACAAGGAAGGTAGCCAGGGACTGAATGAAGCACTCGGGGAGGGGTGTTTGGGAGGGCTCTGCCAGCCAGTTCTCACCCACAGCCTGGCCCCTATCCTGCCTTCAGGCCTGTGCCCTGGTATCCCCCACCCTTCTTTATCCAGGGCTCTGCTGAGGTCCTTCCTACTGACTTCTTGACCCCGGGACCTGCCATTCCCTTACCCAGTTTTCCTCACAGTCTTGGAACTGGGGTTATAGTGGTGGCCGAGAGGCAGGACTGACCTCAGGTCAGTGACCTCTGACTTAGAAGTCACATCCCACCCAGGGATGTTGCAGAGAACTGGGAAAGGGACTGGAGCTTGAGCCTGAGCATCTGGGGAGTCAGGAGGGCATTTGGGGGTGGGGGGGTTTCCCTTAATCCAGGCACTTCCCTGTGGCCCACATGCCTGGGCTCTTCTCTCTCCTCAGAAACCCAAGGACTTGGACTTCGCCCAGCAGAAGCTCACCGATAAGAACCTGGGCTTCCAGATGCTGCAGAAGATGGGCTGGAAGGAGGGCCATGGCCTGGGCTCCCTTGGAAAGGGCATCCGGGAGCCTGTCAGCGTGTATGCAGCAGGCAGCCAGCCTGGGCGGGCGGGGGCGGGCCTCAGTCCTTTGACCTGCAGCCTGATTCTTGGCTCCCCTCATGTCCAAGGTGGCTTAAAGCTGGCAGTTGGTTTTTGTTTTTTAAACCAAAGGCATCTTCAGATGAGAAGCTGATCATTTACATATGCAGGTGTTTACAGGGCTCCTTTCTGCCCTGGTGTAGACTTTTTAACCAGCTTGTTAGCCCTGGTCATTTTGACCACATTTGTTATCGTCATCAAAGCTAAGTGGTATTTCTGTGTAGTTTCAGCCTGGAATCACTTTCCCTTTCCCGGGAACCCATAGGTGGGTGAGCCAGGGTCCCAAACACAGGCCCAAAGTTTATTAAAGCCGATCGTAACATCCAGCAGGCATTTCATTTAATACCGAGCTTAGCCCCTGCTGGGTAAGGCATTCCGAGCTAACCAGGGCCCTCTGGGCACCCCTCAAAAGCCAGCTCTTCTTCCAGGGTGAGTACTCCTTGTTTCCACTGTGAGTCGTGTCTTGATTTTCCCTTTGATGTCTCAGTGTGTGTCCCAAACACCTGCATCTCATGGACTATTTGTGCCCATGCCCGGTCCCTGGTGTGCCAGGCCCTGGACTCAGGTGCACAACTGACTCTCTTTTTCACTCCCTAGGGGAACCCCCTCGGAAGGGGAAGGGTTGGGTGCTGACGGGCAGGAGCACAAAGAAGACACATTCGACGTGTTCCGGCAGAGGATGATGCAGATGTACAGACACAAGCGGGCCAACAAATAGGTACGTGCTCGGGCCAGCGCCCAAGGCCCTCGCCCTCGCCGGCGTGCTGGTGTGCATTCAGACTTCCCCAACAAAGCTGATGTACTCTGCTTCCCCAAAAATGCCACACACACACACAAATCACAAAATTCTGTGAGGGAAACAAAAGGATCTCTGGATGCGGATATGCCCCATTCTTACCTTCCAGGTTTGCTGAAGGAGCAAACCTCACGCTGGCCAAGGGCAGCTGCACATGGCCTGCCTGGCCTCCCAGCTCTGAGCCCCTTGAGGCCCCTGGGCGAGGCTCCGTGGATGCGCACATGGACACAGACCATGCCTGTCTCCTCTCTTGCTCACGTTTTCTCTCACAGATGACGGCCGCCTGCCACATAACATGACCAGCAAACAGACTGTTCCTAGTCCAGAGTGTCTTGCAAGTGCAAGTGGAAGGGCGACTGTGACAGCTGCTGTCACAGAGGATGGCAGTTGGCTCTGTCCCTTTGTGAGGGTCTTCAAATCCTTTTCCTTCTGCAGGGCCTCGGGCCTGTAAATATCCTCATCTTTCTATTCTTTTTTTTTTAGTTGCCCTTCTCACCTAATTTCCAGCTCAGTTTTGAACCAAACCATTCTCTTCCTGAATAGATCAAAAGCACTGATGAGAAAGATAAGCCCTGAAGCAGCAATTGCCCTTAAAACAGCATCCCTGCCCTGGATCGGCCTGGAGCCAGTGCCCAAGGACGGTTTGGTGTGTACGTGACAACACGTCTCTGCAGTCTCTGGGGCGGAGGTTTCGCTGGCTTTTCTTTCTCTCAAAGAAAAAAAAACATGCACCATTTTCAATGTGCTTTTGCCTCTCCTCTCTCTCCACATGCTTTTAGCAGCAAGTCCCCTCCAAATCCGTCTTGGTTCCCCTTCAGAAGGTGGTGCTGCCCCTGAAAGGCACCTCAGCCTGTGAGTGCTGAGGAACCAGCTGCTCTGGCTGGTTTTCCAGTCGGACGGGCCGTTGCTCTCCAGAAGTGCTCTGTTAGCAAACGTGATGTGGAAACGATCACAGATGGTGTTTTCTCATTATTCTCCAGAATTTATACGGGGGAGACAAATCGGTAATTACCAAGTCTGCACTCGGGTACCAAAGCTCTGAAGCTCTCTGAACGGTTGCCATACTTGATTTGATGAATGTGTTATTCATGGCATCTCTTCTCTTAGATGCATCTTGAGAGACGTAATGAAATTTTAGCAACAGTGTAGAATAGCTATCTCGGGTGGGAAGTAATCGTTAAACTGAGGAAACTGGCCCCAGATTGACGGCGTCTTTTTAGAATCCACAGTGTAAGCAAACCACAGTTACCAAGGGGTGGGGTTGTAAGCCCTCCGAGACTTTGCACTTTTCGCAGGTGTGGCTGCATCAAGTGCTGTCTTATTACAGCCTTTGTAAGGAGAGGCAGGCTCCTCCTGGGGTGGGCTCTGCAGCTGCTCCATTTCCAGGCGTGTGATCGCTGCCACTCCAGATTCTCCAGCACTCCACTGCCTGTAACTACTCAATTCTCCACTCATTCTTCCTCGTAAAGCAGCATTGAAGTTTTAAGTACAGGCAAAATCTGGAAAACTTAGGATCCTCCTCACACCACAGGATTAGGGAACACAGCAATGGCTAGGGCATCAGCCACAGAATTGAGCGGGAAATGCCACTTGTGTTGGTTGTAAAAAATCCTGGCTTTGGCCAGGCACAGTGGCGCAAGCCTGTAATCCCAGCACTTTGAGTGGCCAGGGCAGGTGGATCACCTGAGGTCAGGAGTTCAAGATCAGCCTGGCCAACATGGTGAAAGCCCGTCTCTACTAAAACAAAAAATTAGCCGGGCGTGGTGGTGGGCACCTGTAATCTCAGCTACTCAGAAGGCTGGGGCAGGAAAATCACTTGAACCCAGGAGGCAGAGGTTGCAGTGAGCTGAGATCATGCCATTGCACGCCTGGACAACAGGAGTGAAACCCCATCTCAAAAAAAGAAAAAATAAATCCTGGCTTTCTTTAAGCCATAGACCTCCTAGGCTATGGTCACAGCTCCTTGTCTGCCTGGTCCCCATCACCTTGCAGTGCCACCACCCCTGGGGGCTCTGCTTGCTTCTGTAGCTTTGGCAACTGGCAGATGTTTATGGCAGTTTAGGTGCCAGCATGGAGGATGGGGCTTGGGTTTGTAACCCAGCTCTCAAACAAACCAGCCTGTGGGGGCCCGGAGTAAAGCTGGTCTTGGGGAACCACAGGTACAGGGGTTCATCTCCTTTCTTTCCTGACCCCTCCGACAGCTTCCGTGTTGGCCGCGGGTCAGGTGAATGGATGGAGCTCCGAGTGGGGCTCAGCTCATTGGCACACACACCCACAGCGCGGATCGAACGCTCTCTCCAGCATCGCTCTGACCATTCCATGTGCTTTGTCCTGGCATGTTCATTCTTCACTTTCTCCACTTCGTTTTACTGAAAAGTTAAATGCTTTAGGAATCTGTGGTGTGTGGGCTCTGAGCACCGCCGCCTGCTGCTCCTTCAAAGTTTGAGCTGAGATGGTTCCGTGAGCCCTTGGCAAGGGTCCAAGGGGATGCCTCCTTGGGCTTAGACAGTCCCTACACTCTCAGGGGGTGCCTCTCCTGTGGACTCAGCGTATCCACTGTTGGGGCAGTGAAGGTGTCAGGAGCCAGCAGAGCGTGGTGCGTGCTGCCAGCTGCCGGCCGGCCGGGATGGAGATGCCACTGGCCCTCCATGTCCCCAGCCTCTCCCTCTTCACCGAGGCTGCTCTTGCTCTCTGCAGGATCCTTGCGTCGCATATGATGTGTGGTAGCATAGCCGTGTCAGAATCACAGTGTGTTTTCTGTCGTTCTAGTTCCAGGGTCGCCCCCGAGAGGACGACAGGCATCCGGAAGTGCTCTCTCGCCACTCTGGGTGCTCACTGTCTGGCTTGTTTCCATCACTGGAAATCACTTAGACAATTGTAGTGTTTTTGGTCCTTGATAAAGCCTAGAAGACATTTGTGATGTTACAAAATGGAAGTTTTTTTTTTGTTTTTGTTTTTTAAGATCTAAGAAATTGTGAATGTTGTTAATCATTTAGACGTTGCAATAAATGTAGAGGAAATGCAGTGTGCTGGGGTGTCCATGGGTGTGTTTTTAAAATCGTCACCAGGGGCACACAAATGGGAGTGCAGTGTAGAACCAGGCGACAGCTGCCTCCCAGGACATGCCCTCTGCGGCGTGGTGCTCCTCCCTTGAGCACCCCCTGACTGGCTCACCCACCTGGGGACTTGTGTCACTGTCACCAGGAAAGCCCGGAAGATTCCAGAGCAGGAAGTGACCAAGCACGGGAGGGAGGGTAATTCCCCTTCTGGAGAGGCTGGGTACCACTGAGTACAGAAGCTGCCTTTGAGGGATGTCAGGGAAGTGGGAGCCCTGCACCTACCACCCACGACTCACCTGTCCCCCCAGGGCTTTGCTCCATTATTCCCAGGGCTAGGGTTCCAGCTGCCATAGTAAAACCCGGGCCTCCCTCTGAGGAGCTGCCTCTCTATCATCTTCACACTCCCTGCCATCCCAGGTGCTGCCAGCCTGCCCATGGTTCCTCTACCAACAGCCCCTTGGCCCTCCGGGTGAGGAGGGGAGAGCAAAGGGTATAGTAGGGACCAAGCCAGCACTTGCAGAGGCCTCCGCCTGACCAGGATGAGGAGGGGAGGGCGCCAGACGCTGTGCCCAGGGCAGGTGATGCTTGTGTAGAACTGTCCCGGTGGGCAGCTTAGCAGGAGCCTCAAGACAGCCCTGAGGAAGCTGAGGCAGGACTCCCAGCCTCAGTTCTGCCATGCCCAGGGGAAGCCATTGTCTGCCAGGACTGTTACCCTGCCTTCATCTTAGCCATGTCTCACCACTAGCTTCAGTGGCACTTCCAGAGAAAGGCTGGAGCCTGCAGGGGCTCACTCGCAGGGGCTGAGCAACTGCCAGGAATTTCTCTTTAGGAGTTGAACCCCCCCTTCCCCTAGCTCCTCTTAATAACACCTGAGGCCAGTCAGGGTGGCTTAGGAGGACAGGATGAGGGGTGGTCTCCAGCCCAGGATGCCTGTCCTGGCATTGACCCCAGGCAGGTCACTTGATCTCAGGCTTCAGTTTCCCCTCTGCAGACAGGGAATGATCTCATTTGGAAGGTAAAATTTCCCCTGCTGCCTTATACTAGGTTGGTACAAAAGTAACAGCAAAACCCACAATTACTTTTGCATCAATCTAGTAATTTAGGACTAACTGGAACCTCAAGATGCCTCTCCTGGCCTTTCTCCTACCTGGGGCAAGATGGGCAGAGGGCACTGCCAAGAAGCCCCAGTGGTAAAAGCAAGGTGTGGCTTCAGTGCAGGCCTTGGCTGTGCCCATGTACAGACTTGTACTCATGTGTGTTCAGGCAGCACAGGAGGATATTTTCCTTTTTCTTTATTTTTTTTTTTTTAAAGATGGGGTTTCACTATGATGGCCAGGCTGGTTTTGAACTCCTGACCTCAGGTGATCCACCCACCTCAGCCTCCCAAAGTGCTAGGATTACAGGCGTGAGCCACCGTACCCGGCAATATTTTCCTTGTAAAAGATGAAAAACCAGGCTGGGCAAGGTGGCTCACACCTGTAATCCCAGCGCTTTGGGAGGCCAACGCAGGGGGATCACCTGAGTTCGGGAGCTTGAGATCAGTCTGGCCAATATGGTGAAACCCTGTCTCTACTAAAAGTACAAAAAATTAGCTGGGCATGGTAATGCATGCCTGTAGTCCCAGCTACTTGGGAGGCTGAGGCAAGAGAATCGTTTGAACCTGGGAGATGGAGGTTGCAGAGAGCTGAGATCACACCTCCAGCTTGGCAACAGAGCAAGACTCTGTCTAAAAAAAAAAAAAAGAAAAAAACCAAATCCAGATATATGCAGAGTGAGGCACAGAGGCTTCCTCCTCCCTTGAGTCAAAACAGATGGCAGGACACACCAAAGGTGCCACTTGGAGACTGACTTCCTTTCCCCACGGGTGGTCTCGGCAGTCTCCACGGCACGTGGGAAAAGAGCAGATGTTGAGTTGGCTTCAGAGGATACTCCACATGTAGACGTTCATAGGCACAATCTTGATTCAGGTAGAACCCTTAAAATGCAAATTATACTTCAAGTTCTATTCTGCTCCCTGGTTTTTGTTTTTTTCACTTACAAATCTTCCGAATCCACGCGTAGTAGTGCATGCTTATAATCCCAGCTACTAGAGAAGCTGAGGTGGGAGGATCACTTGAACCCAGTATTGGAGGCTGCAGTGAGTTGAGATTGTACCACAGTACTCCAGCCTGAGTAACCCTGTATCTAAAAATACAAACCTGAAATAAACGTACATACACACGTGTATACATATGATGGACTGTTGTTTAGTTAACAGGTTCTCACCCCTAGCCATTTGGGTTTTTGGCCCCCACCTCCTAGAACAGGCTGCTTTGTGGATGAAGTCCAGGAAATAGCATTTATGAGACCAAAGGGTCCGAGGGTCTCCTGACCTTGCTGCCTCCCTCCACAGAGTTCTTGTGCCATCTAACTTTGGGGTGACCCTGCTGATGCCCCAATGCCCTAGCTTCCCTGCCTCTCAGAGACAGTGGGGACTGTGGTTCCTGCAGGTGTCTGTGGCAGGCACTGGCCTTTAGGGTGGGCTCCACTGCCAGCCTCACCCCCAACCCCTGACCTCTTGGGATATGGACCTGACTGCTGACCCTCTCTACCTCCTCCAGGCCCCCCAACTCTGTCCCTGTCACCCCCACCCTGTCCAGGAGCCTGTGCTGGTTTGGGGTCACTGTTCCCTAAGGGGCCCTGCCAGGCCTCTATCTCCCCTCTGTCCACACACTGTCCCAATACCCACCCACAGTGGAGGGTGGTGTCTTGAGGGCCAGAGATGTGCCAGCAACAGGGACGCTATCACTGACCCTCTGCCCACAGTCAGTCCTCCCCCAGGTGCTCAAGCAGTGAGACCCTCCACGCGTCCATTTTCTCCAGCGATACGCAGCCACTAGCTTGGAGGGTTAAATACATAGTTTTCCAGGACCTCTCTTAGAGGGTTCAGAGAGACTGGTCTTGTTATTGACTGATCCTTTCACATCCCACCCTCTTGGGCCTCAGTCTTCCCTCGTGAGGATCCCCACATCCCAACATCCCCTGTCTACCCTTCCCTGGCCAGCCTGGGGTGGGGGGCTGGCCCCCAAGCTCTATCACATTCCACAGAGGAGCCAACCAGGAGAAGAGGGGTAAGTTGTCACAAAGTCTCCCCACCCACATATGTTTGGGAGATTAAGGGCTGGACAGAGGTAGGAGCCGGGGATAGTTAATCGATGCTGGGGCTACAGCCTGGGCAACATAGCAAGACCCCACCTATACAAAAAGAAATGTTTTCATTAGCAGGGCATGGTAGTCTCAGCTGCACGGGAGGCTGAGGTTGGAGGATTGCTTGAGCCAAGGAGTTGGAGGCTGCAGTGAGCTCTGATTGCACCACTGCATTCCAGCCTGGACAACAGAGCAAGAGCCTGTCTACAACCCCCAACACCCACAAGAGAATTAAAGTAGCTCACAAAATGTCAACCTCCAGGTCCACAGCACAGACCATATGCTGACATAAATCTGATCGTTGGCCTTTCTGGACTCCAATGTCCTCATCCAGGGAGGGCCAGCCCATTTCCCAGTTGAGAAACTGACGCCTGGGACAGTCTGACTCCAGAGCGTGAACACTAACCATCAGTATCCGGATTTCCAGTTGGTTTCATCTGATTCAGAAGCCCCCCTCATACACACACTGGCGTCCACATGGACGCCCCCGTGCCACGCCCCTGTGTGCCCACTAGCACAGATATACACAGAAACACATGCACATGCACACACACATGCAAAGGTCCCACAAAGCCCAGGCCCATGGCCCTGTGAACTTTAATGCTGAGGAATTGAGGCTCCGTAATAACTGGCACATTCCACTTCCTTCACTCCCCAGGAGGGGGACCTCATGAGCTGAGCTTTTTGTGGCTGTACTTTTCTCCAGCGATTCCTCAAGTTCCCGCAGTTGGTGGCCAGTTGTAAAAAGGGGAGCCTAAGCCTCAAGATTTCAGCTTCCACACCTTCATGACTTGCTTTTGCCAGGGGCAAAGCAAACCTTAAGAATTTGAGGCCAGGCCGGGCACGGTGGCTCATGCCTGTAATCCCAGCACTTTGGGAGGCCGAGGCGGGTGGATCACCTGAGGTCAGGAGTTCGAGATCAGCCTAACTAATATGGTGAAACCCCCGTCTCTAAAAAAAGAAAAAGAAAAAACAGAATTTGAGGCCAGGCGTGGTGGCTCACACCTGTAATTTCAGCACTTTGGGAGGCCAAGGTGGGTGGATCACCTGAAGTCAGGAGTTCGAGACCAGCCTGGCCAATATGGTGAAACCTTGTCTCTACTAAAAATACAAAAATTAGCCAGGCATGGTAGCACATGCCTGTAGTCCCAGCTACTCGGGAGGCTGAGGCAGGAGAATTGCTTGAACCTGGGAAGCAGAGGTGGCAGGGAGCCGAAATTACACCACTGCACTCCAGCCTGGGTGCGTGTGAGTATGACCTCGTCTCAAAAAAAATAAAAATCCAGTCACAAAGTATAGCATTATTTTTGTAAAAATCTTGTAAAATGTAGACAAGCCCCTGTATATGGTAATGTTGCCTGTGTTTGAGCACAAAGATGGGTCTACTCCAAACGTGCCACGTGGTGAGGAAGCATGTGGGGTTGGGGGAGGTGCCACTCGCCTCTCCCACCCCCTCCCACCCCACCCCCTTCCCCACAGCACCCAGCCTTGCACCTCATTGCAAGCAGTTTGAAAGGAAAATCTACTGAAGAATGTTTAGAGGAAGTAAAAACGGCAAAGCTCATGCTGGCGGCAATTGTCGGCCTTTGTTTTGGAGGCAGCTGTGGTCTTAGGAGAAAAAAGAATCCGATTCGAACTAAGACAGTTTCTTCCTGTGTCAAATGGGGAAATAAGCCTGGCTTCCTCCCAGGGCCATTGTTCAAAGGCTGCTGTGTAAGTCCCTCTGACATCTCCCTGGCAGAGGCTCTGAGCGGCTTCTTCCATCTGTCTGTTCACTCATTCAT